GGTGACCAAATTGTTGTTGTTTTTGTGAATCCCATATAAAGGCCTACTCACACACCAAATTTCAAGGGTGGTCAAAAAATTTCATTTCCCACTTTGCTTGAGTCTTACAGACCTACTCTTAAGACTACATTGGTTATAAGTCTTTGTCTTTCCTATCGTCTATTTAAAATATTAATCAGCTAATATTCTGAACATGACATGATAACATGGATTAAATGGTCCATTATGTAAGTTATCATATTGTTATGATTAATACTTATACTTAATACAAATATCTCTTTTCGATGCAGAAACCCTTCCATATTATGGAAAATGTTTCATCACAAACTAATAAGGTCCAAGGTGAAGTTGCCCAAGCAGAAGACAATGGCTGCACTTCAAGTTCCATGGATAATATCATAACAATGCAAGATTGTCCACCTAAAGAAAATGATGAAATAACTGGTGCGGATGAAAGTAATTGCGAGGACTTGGTTGGAAAAACATATTCTTGCGTAGAACGAACAGATACCAAAAGAACAAAAAACATTTCTCATGATGCGCAACGCAGTAATTTAGCTAACGAGAATACAAAGCAACAACCGGCCCAGAGACCAAAGAGGATGAAAGATTTAACATCAAATGCCTTCAGTATGAGTACATGTAGCAAAGGAGGAAGACACGAGGTGTTAGATTGCCAGGATCAAAGCATGCAAGAAATGAAAAGAGGATTGAGCTGTGAGTTGTGTGATTTATTTGTTAACTCAACTTATGATTATTATCATCATCTGAAATCACACTGCCTTGAAAAGTCTCATATGTGTCCAGTATGCAAGAAAACACACCAACAAAAGAGTTCCTTGTTTGCTCACTTGAGAATTCACTGCCGGACATTTACGCAAAATGTTCATATAGAGGTACATGAACGTATCCACTCGGAATTAAAACCATACATATGTACATACTGTAACAGGACCTTTACAAGACAAGTTTGTCTAAAGAAACATGAACTTATCCATACAGGTGTCAAGCAATACAAGTGTACGTACACTAACATGGCATTCAGACGACAAAGTCATGTAATCCCACACGAACGTATCCATACTGGTGTCAAGCCTTACAAGTGTGAATTCTGTAACGAGAAATTTGCACAAAAAGATTATCTAAAGGTACACAAACTTGAACACACAGGCGTCAAGCAATACAAGTGCACACGCTGTGAGAAGGCATTTTCACGACAAAGTCATCTAAAGCAACACGAACGTATTCATACAGGCATTAAGACATACAAGTGTACAACCTGTACCAAAGCATTTACATATGGATTTGATCTAAAAAAACATGAACTTATTTACACAGGTATCAAGCCATACAAGTGTACATACTGTAATAAGGCATTTACACGACATAGTGTTGTAAAAGTGCATGAACGTGTCCATACTGGTGCTAAACCATACAAGTGCACATACTGTAAGAAGGCATTTAGGCAACAAGGTCATCTAGGAATACATGAACGTCTTCATACAGGTGTCAAACCATACAAGTGTGCGTACTGTATCGAGGCATTTACGAGACAAATTTGTCTAAAGAGACACGAACGTTTCCATACAGGTGTCAAATCATACAAATGTAAATGCTGTAACAAGACATTTGCACGAAAAGATAATCTAAATGTGCATAAACTTGTACATACCGGCTTGAAACCATACAAGTGCGCACGCTGTGACAAGGAATTTAAACGAAACGATTATCTTAAAGCACACGAACTTGCCCATATAGGTGTTAAACCATACAAGTGTACATACTGTGGCAAGGCATTTATGCGACAAGGTCATCTAAAGCAACACGAACGTGCTCATACAGGCATTAAAGCATACAAGTGTACAACCTGCGCCAAAGCATTTACATATGGGTTTCTACTAAAGAAACATGAACGTATCCATACTGGTGTCAAACCATACAAGTGTACATACTGTAACAATGCATATACTCAACAAGGAGATCTAAAGAGACATGAACGTATCCATACAGGCATGAAAAAAACATGCAAGTGTACATACTGTAATAAGGCATTTACTCGCCAAGGAGATCTAGAGAGACATGAACGTATTCATACAGGTGTTAAACCATACAAGTGTACATACTGTAATAAGGCATTTACACTTCGAGGTAATTTTAAGAAACATGAACGTATCCATACAGGAGTCTTGCCATACAAGTGTGCATACTGTGAAAAGGCATTTGGACAAAGATATTATCTAAAGGTACATGAACGTATCCATACGGGTGTCAAACCGTACAAGTGTACCCATTGTAACAAGGCATTTACACAACAATGTACTCTAAACAGACATGAACGTATTCACATTGATCGGGGTCGGCATTTGTCAAAAAAAACACTAAGTACACATGAACATGAAGATATTACAAAGGCAAAACACAGAATTATCACAGTTTTTTCTAAAGATATGCTCAAAGCAATTAAATGTTTGTATTTATTCATTCAAGATTTCAAGATAAGAAGTATTAAATTTTGTTTGCTAGCCAACAGAGCATTCATTAAGAGACAGAGCATTTTCTAGTTCCAAAATACCGATGTGTTCCTTGATTACTACAGGGACTCATTTATTCGGGGTTAGCCTCGTATCAGTGTCGTAATATTTACAAATACGTAAAGAATGAATCACAAAAAAAGTAAAGAATACGCAACGTTCACAACTTCATAAATGAAAACGATTTGAAATTTCACGCCGCTTCACTGGAACACATGAATATTATGCGCAAGATCGAGGCTAACCCTGAGCAACTTATTCTCGACTTTCACATCCACATAATCCTTTGCGTTTTTGGGGGCTAACCAGAGGCTAAAAACCCACTTATTTTGCTGAAGGTTGATCAGACAATATTGAAAATACCTTGTTTGGTATCCAAAGATAAAATGAAGAAGTAAAAAAACAGAAAAAGATAGAAGCTTGAAGACGTTTAAAGTAAAAATTTTAAACATTTTTTTGTAAGTCAATACATTTTCTGTAAGACCAAAACTCTTCATGATCTTTACACGCAAAAATAACTTGGAATAAACTGATAATCAGTATTGTACAGATAAAAGCAGGTATAGTATAAATTCAATTAATAAACATTTCAATTTGGGACAGCTTTGCTGCATTCATACGTACTGTACTATTAGGAATTATACGAAAAGTTCGTGCCATTTTTCATTTGTTTTACACTCAATAATAACTTGCTCCTTTTATTGCCAATTATTTTAATAGTCGATCAGCGGTGACCTAATACAAGCAAAGGGTTTCACACTGCCACTTCACAAGACTATAGTTTCTGCAATATTTTTATTAAGGTTGCACTTTAGGTTCCCGGTGAAAAAAGCAAGGCTTCCGTCCTATAATTTTCAGTGCTAAAATCCCTAACTGTTTTAGGGACAAGTCAATCAGAATTTTTCTACTGGGTGTTTCAAACTATTTTAATATTGCAATAGACGTTATTCGTTGTGCCGTAATGTTTTCCCATTTCAGACCTGGTGTCATTGTTTTGTGAGCTTTGAAAAAAAAATCTTGAGAATAAGATTATTTGGCAATCTCGTACCCAGATCCTGCGCTTCTTCTGGCCTGCGGCGAAATACAAGGGCTCTAGCGTAATCGACTTTTTTATACCAGGATTTCTTGGACTTCCGGTATAAGAGTGCTTGCGTTCAAAGACGAAAATTAACAAAAAAATGTTCCCAAAGTCAATTTTTTATTTTGATCGGAAGTAAACATAGAACTCTGTTTTAAAGCATGATTTTCATTGATTATATTTCGCTTAAAAAAATTGCGCATGCGCCAAAAATCGATTATGCCAGAGCCCTCGTTATAATTCGCAGCAGGCCAGAGGAAACGCAGACTCTGGGTGCGAGATTAATTCTATGGTTGAGTGGTATCCATATGCTGATGCGCAACCAAAAATTATACTCTTGGGAAATAATACTCCTGGAAATGACACGCTGTCTGAAATGGGAAAACATTACGCCCAAGCTAAAGAGCTTTATTAAATAAGTAATTCGTTTAGCTTTCAATGAACTATAATAGTCATTATATTGCCTATTTATATATATATATATATATATATTTATTTAAAAATATAGTTTCTATAAGTTGTCTCCAAGAGTTCTCATGCTAGCTCATCTAGGGAGAATTTGCAAAATTAGATTAGATGATAACTTATAATTTATCCATGTAGTGTATATATTGATGTGAACCTTAGCAATTCATGTAGCTTACAATTTAATAAATTTACCTATGTAACCAAACTGTATAAAACCGGAAAAAGTCGTCATTGTCCCACCCGTACGCCCTAGGTAGGTCTTCAGGCAAGCATTCCACTTAGAGGTCAGTTACAAGGCCAAGGTTAAAACCGTGGAAGGGCGTGCTAACTGAACCCAAATTTATCTAACGGTGAGTCTTAGTATTGATGGTTTTCAAACATTCCCAAGAGAATTAAATAACAAAAGACACGGCGGCCATGATGGAGGATTTAACAAGAATTCATTGACAATTTTTTGTTAAGTTCTTCCAACATGGCCGCCGTGAAAACCATCGTTAGTTTCTATTTATTGTTGCCCTTAATGCCTCGACTTGAAACAATTGTTTGAAGGAAATGGAGGGTAGCTTTCATAGCTGCGATTGGCGTGGAATGGCAACCCTCAGGGTGGTGACATATTCTAATCGTGAAGGGGAAGGACGTATTTTATTAAAGTCTTCCTATCCAGTCCCCCGGCGCCCCAGGGGATGGATAAGATACAAAAGATAAAATGCACTTTCGTTAACATTACTAGGAAAAACGTATTTTCGTTTTCGATTTCTCCCAGTGTTAAGTAATTTTTTTATTATAGATTACAAATGATACATTATGTATAGTTTAATAAATGAGCAGGAGTGTTTTATCGGGTTGAACCACGAGGCGTAGCCAAGAGACGTGAGCGTAAGCATTTCGTATAACTCGCACTAGCTCCACTACAGAGTGAACCTAGATTTTTAGAATGTTTTCGAATAAGCTTATGAAAAGTATAGAATCCCGTGCAAAATTTAAGGGTTTTGCCCTCTTGAGTTTTAAAGACGAAAACCTTGCGCCAATTTACCATCTATTTGTTTTCATGTACAGCCGTTAAACACAGAAATGGTACTCTGGGGAATAACCCTTGGCCCGGAAATCGGAAAGCATCATGGTATCCACCTGCTGCTGGAATTCACTACCTCGCAAATTTATTGTATATTAATTGTTTTAGGAAATAAAATTTTTTTGAAAGAAAATGAACACAAAAGCTTTAAGAATGGCAGAAGGTACCCCAACAAAGAAAGTTGTTGGAGAACTTCACTGGAATATTTGTAATTCTCTCTCAAACCGTATGTCCCTGACTAAAAAGCATTACTGTAGTTTTCGATATTCTGTGAACTAAGACATTTCAACGGATGTGTGAAATTGGTTTTTCACTGCCGCCAGTCAAGAATATTAAAGGTACCGACTGGTTATTTTTAACAGACCTCGGCTCTGACGTGATGTTTTTCCATTCCAGACCACGTCATTCCCTAGAGTATCATTTCTTTGTTTAAGGTTTGCGCTCGGTTGAACATGAGAAGACACATGAATATGGATAAAACTCAGGAATATTATTCTCAAGGGAATGACACGTGTCCTGAAATGGGAAAACATTACGCTCGAGCGCTCCAGAGCCGAGGAGGTCTATTGACGGCAGCGAAAAACCAAATTTTAGCAAAAAAATCGCATTAGGTGTCTGACCACTGCACATAGTTTTTTTTCTTCAAATATTGGAAAAACTGTATCCGAGGATCCAAGCGCTTTTCTCTATCCGGACCGACTTTAGGACGGTAAGTAACTTATTTATTTTTTTACCATTTTCTTTTCTCTGCTTGTTTCCAGTTTTCTCATAAGCGCGCTTGGATGGCCTAAGCCTTCCGTCAGGATACCGGTAGATATAGAAAATGCCGCCCGCTCGCGCAGCCAATCAGAACGCATCGCAAAACAAATTTCATATGCCCTACAGCACAATCATTTATTATGATTATATTTTTGACGCGGTCTTATTTTTAATCGCAGAATGAACTTTTATGAGCTACGTACTCAAATTCATAGTACAAGTAGAGTTACTATAATAAATAAATAAAAAATGTTCAGTAAAGAGGCCATTGAAGAGGCATTCATCACGTTTGATGATTTAATTTCATACCCGGAGCTCTGTCATTCCTACTTTGCGAGTGAATTGCAACAAAATGCCAGATTTCGTCGAGCATGCGCAGTCAAAATAACAGAGCTATGAGGTCGAAATTAGAGAAGAGATCAGAGTTTGTCCCTAGTTTCCCGCCAAAATTCCAGAGCATGCGCATTCCGCATCTTTCATATCTGGCTATACAAAGGCCATGTAGACATTTGCAGCTTTTCCGTTATTATGAGTCAACATGTGAGCCTTCAGATGGTGGGATCGTAGGAACAGCTTGCCACATCGTATACATTCATGAGGTCTGTAAGATGCGTGGGACTGAAGATGTCTTTGCAAGCCGTATTTGTTGGCAAACGTTTTCTTGCAGATCGCACATTCCTTTGTTTTCCAGTCGCAGTGATTAAATAAATGTTCAAAGAACGTTTTTGTGCTTGAAAATACAGTGTCGCACAAGGGACAACCGCACGGGCGGTTTGGAGATTCCAGGAAGCGAGGCTTTGTTTGAACCTTTTGACCACTTTCAACTGCGTTTGTAGGCGGAGACGTCCTAGAGTGGTCACTAGTTGTAGCTGTGAAACAGAAGGAATTGAAATTTATAAGTTTTGAACAACTTGGGTGAATATGCCATAAACATAAGAAAATGGTCGACTATTTTCTTAAGATTATGATTATGTCATGTTTATGTTTAAGTGCATTCCCACTTTGACGGAAGTTCGAACGTCGAACTTCACATCTCTTGGCCGAACCTAATTGAAACAATAGAAACACGGCAGTCTTACTTGATGTCATTAGTTTCGGCTCATGTGAAGTTCGATGTTTGACATGAGCCTAAGCGCCCTTATGGTCATAGCAAGAGAATATGAACTAGTTCCTGTCCTCTTAAAATCCCCACACCCATCCCTTATTCAACCCATTAAGGAATCATTAGTAAAGGCCAGACACAAAGACAGTGGTTGTTTTAAGTCCCTCCAATGCTGGGTGGGGTAATGGGGAGAGCCATGGACATCCGAGAAACGTGATGGTCTAACCATCATTGTAGATTTTATCACCTAGGCAGCCTCAGTGATATAAAGACCCTGAATGTCGGTCCTTGGTGTCAGCCCTACTGAGGTGCCACACGGGCATAGAGGATAATGATGAGTGTCGGTCCGGATGAGACTTGAACTACGACCTCCTGCACGAAGTTCAGTTGCTCAACTAATCCAACTGGGTGATGGTTTAAATACTTTGTAATGGATACATTTATAAAATATTTGTGTTCAAAAATCTCGTATAGATAAGCCTGCAATTAAGAATCACAGCGGTAGTATAGTTTTCAAGAAGTCCTGCTGATAATGAGCCTTGCTGACGCGGCAGCCATGTTAACTGGAACAATTGCTTGCTATCAATCACTTGACTTTTTGGAGTTGACGGGTGGGGTTAAACAAGCGGTTGACTGAGGGGCAACTAGCGGATGTTAAGTCAAAACATGTCAAAATAAGTCCTCCAGAAACCAGAACACAAGAGATCAAAACAACCTCCAAGATTCTAGATTCTGCCATTAAAAACGCAGCTATTAACGGAAGTGACGATTATTGATAGCAACCTATAGATTGCTCCACGCAATGCCTCGCATTCAAGTGCTTGAAAATAAATTATGTGGTTTAAAAAAAGGCATTTACGTGAGTAAGGCACATTCTCAGCTTGCTTGTCTCGTGCTCTACAGCTTCCAGGGAATACAGAGGCATGCGCGCGCGATTTATATTTCTTAATGTATTGTGTTTTTCTATTGTTAAATTCGTGTACTTGGACATGGATTCAATACAAATAATAAAGTCGACATAGAATAAATACCTTGTTCTTTAAAAACCGTGGTGCATTCTGGTAGGCAGACCTCTTCTATCTCTGGGTACGCTATCATACGGTATCCAGTCGGAGCCTCGCTTTCATGCGATGACAGGTTACTGTTTAAATTACCGGAAGTGATAGCCGTATCCACGTGTATGACATGAGTGTAGGTTATTGGTTGAGAACTGTGCGGGATTCCTGTGGTGATGCCACTAAGTGCTTGTTCTTTCCGTATTCCTGTGTTGACACTACTTTCTGCCAATGAGCTTTCAACAGGTGAATGATCTCTTGGGATCCCTGTGTTAATGCGTGTTACATCCAATGAGATTTCAACTGGGGAATTATCTCTAGGGATCGTTGATCTGGTAACCTGCTTTTCGCTCAGGGCGCCTCTTTCAATAAACGATCGATTTCTTTGAATTTCGGTGGAAACACATAATTGACTTGCTGGGATCCTTGTGTCAACAGAAAAATGTCGCGAAGAATCAGGTTTGGAAACCTGTCTGGTTGGGCTACCTGTGATGTTGCGAGAATCAGTCAATAAGGGGCTAGCATCAGGTACTTTAATCTCCAGAATCTGTCTCCGTGGTGACGAAGAATCTTCGCCAGTTTCATGATGAGGATTTTCAATGATTATTTTACTGACATTCTGCAGGTTCATAAATGACTGACTCGAGTTCACAGTGTAGACTTGGTCGGCGTTTCTCTTGTTTTCACCAGACTTTTCCGTAATGGTCGACATTTCTTGTCTCTCTGATTTACTCAAATTATCATCAAATTTGTCTGTATGAATAGCTTCATTATTATTCTCTGCATCTATAAATTCTTCCATGTTCTGTATTTCTTCCTGTTTTACTCTTTTTCTTTCATGACCAGCTTCTTTTTCAGCAGCAATGGTTTGCTCACCGTATATAGAATGGTCTAAACCTTCATCTACAATCACATCCATTTCTAGGGGAATTTTGTCAAGAAAACAGCTACTTTCCCTTGTTTTTTCATCCAAGCTATTTGGGTTGTTTTCTACATCAGAGTGTCCCAGTTCTAAGCACTCTTTGCTGTTCATGTTCTTGTTAATGTAGATTGAGGTACACCCATTTCCACACCCACTGTCTTCTGTTTGGGTACCTACACTTACACTAGTGGCTTTATCTTGGTGTAGTGACCCGACGCTTGATGTGGTTTCATCTGAATGTAGCCCTTTCTGAAACAATTTCCAAAACATTAAGCTAAATAATACTCCCATTTCGAGTTCGCCATTTCTCAGTCTCAGCCTTGATTGTGTACAAATGTATGCTTCTCTTTTATTAAGGTGTTCGTATAGTAAGGAATTTAAGTACTTAGAAATGATAGGAGTTGATTAAATACCGTAAATCCTCTATTTAGCCCCCCGGGGGCTTATTTATTTCAGGCACGTTTGAAAGAGGGCTTATTGGAGAGAGGGGGCCTAATTGAGAGGGGGGGGGGGGGCTTATTGATTTAGTCGAAACGCAGAAAATTGTACGCTGTCAGGATGTAATATGATTGTAACTCAGAATCAAATAGAAGCATTACTACAGAAGCATTGACGGTCTCACATAATCTGTAGTGATGTGCATGGCATTTTTATTATTTGATTCACCTGTGTTAGTCTCTCAAGTATAATTTACGATTATGTTAGTGAAATACCGTATCAAGAATTTTAATTTTAGTTGTGAAGGGGGAGGGGAGGGGGGGGGGCTAAAAAGAGAGGGGGGGGCTTAACAAATTTCTTCCTTTAAATAGGGGGGGCTTATTAGAGAGGGGGGGCTAAATAGAGGATTTACGGTAGCCACAGGCTTTGGTTGAATAGCTGAATATTATACTGATGCACAACCGAGGCTGAACAAAGAGAACTCGAAACTGGAGTATTGTAAAAATCTAGCATTAGAAGTAAAAAAATAGCAACTAGTATTTCAAAAGCATGAAAATACTATGTTAGTAAAATATTTTTCAATTTTAGTATCCCATATTTCATTCTCATAATTTTGTGTTTCCAGAGTATATTTTCTGAAATGTAGTCAGGAAACAAAACAATAATACACAATAAGGGAATGACATGTGGTACCAATGGAAAAAAAAGGGTGGTGGGTGAAAAAAAAAAAGCAAAAATACATTTTCCCCCAACTACCCATTGATATGCTCAATTTCTTTGAAACCCCCTGTGATGCCTCCCCTATAGAGGTTTATATAAAGATAAATATGAATATGAATATATACACTTGATTGCAGAAAGGTTGTAGTATACATCTATACAAATACCTAATTTACTCAGTATATTTAATGATATGCAAAACAGAAAACTTGCTTTATTTATTATTTGTTTCATTCAATAAATGTCAAAATATTTTATTCTTGTGTTTCACATCCTACAGATTATAAATCAATTGGCTTTGAGGGTTAAAAAAGTAAAATTGCAATATGCATCTCATTAGGTATTTGTATAAATGTATAAATGTATACTACGTTTCTGCAATCGAGTGTAAATATACATATATAAATATGAATATATAAAATAAAATTATAACAATACAAATACAAATACACTCGATTGCAGAAACGTTGTAGTATACATTTATACATTTATACAAATATCTAATGCGATGCATAATGCAAAATAACCATTTTCAACGCTTAAAACCAACTGATTTATAATCTGTACGATCTAATAGACAAGAAAAAAATATTTTGACAGTCATTGAATGAAACAAACAATAAATAAAGCGATTTTTCTGTTTTGCATATCATTAAATATACTGAATCAATTAGATATATGTATAAATGTATACTACAACGTCTCTGCAATCGAGTGTATAAATATAAATATAAATAAAAATAAAAACACACTAGTTCTACATGAGTATAATTCAAATTTGGTGACCACTGAGCTTAATACTTAATAGTTCTTAAATTAAAGTCCATTAACTTGAAAAATATTCAACATTTCTGACTATTCATTTTTTACCGGGGAGGTTGGGGCCCACAAAGAAAAATTCAAATTGCACAGCACTATAGACCATTGTGAAATTAGTTAAATACCACTGTGTGTCTTGATTACAGACTCATTTATGCAGGATTAGCCTTAGACTGATTCCAGAAGTTGGTGTTTTCACTCTTTTGTTAATTCTGGATATTGCTAACACACCAACACATTACTTGGTCCATTTTGATTGGCGTCTCCACTATACGGCGATATCCTATCACGCCGCTCGTTATATATTTCGAAAATTTTTCAGTAAAATAACAGAAGCGTCCTATTGAGCTAAATCACTTGCTGCTCAAGCAGTTTGGTCTGGTTTGCTTTGCCGCCATTTTGATTGTCACATGGAATCAGTCCACAAAATCAAAAGTTAAGATATAAATTATTACAGAAAAAGCAATTGATCAAGTACAACGGCATGCTGGCTTCGAATAGCCATTGAGCAGCTATGAACGCACTTTTTTCCATAGAATTCAGTATACAATCTTATTGATCTTTAGTTATGTATTTATATTGCCTACAGGTAGATTGATTCTATCTTCTAAATGGATGGAAGTTTATTATTGATTTGTAAATTATAAAAACTGTGTGTTATTCCAATGCGGCTACTTTTGAACCTACATTTGTAAGCTCAATAAATTCTTACTACAAATCTGCAATTTTTGTTTTATTTATTTTAAATGTGACTTTATTTAGTTATACATTAATAACAATTAGTGGACGGAAAGTGTGGAAATGCCAAAAATATAAAAACCTTCTCAGCACTTAGAGGGAATTTCCTTTCCGGATAATTAAATATGCAAAAGCCTCATTTTGGTGTTTGCATAGAAAATTAGTAAAAGTGTGATAAGTCGCTAGTTGAGCGGCCACAACCCACAAAGAAGCATAAACTATGACTTATGGAATCAGTCTAGATTAGCCTCATTGTATTAATATTTAAAGTAAATTCTTAAAAAAAAGAGGCTAACCCTGTACAACAGATAATTCAAAACCCAATATTAATTCCACTAAAGTATTAGTCTATCACAAATCCTATTTTGTGATTGGCTGACCTATGAGTGGTCTATTACATGTAGTAATAAACCACTCATAGCGAAAAGTGCAGGTTTAGAAAATTATGACAGTGGCGGCGAACTTGTGTTTTCAACTGCTAATTTCCAAAATTGTTTGCATCCATTTCTTTGAGTGATTAATAGGTTTAGACTACAACAATTAGTTTCTTTGCCCTCATTGTCTAGGAGACAATAGCTCACGAGGCTGAAGGCTGAAGGGCTCAAGGGCTATTGACTTGCAGTTGTGACAACAATGAGATTTGAATGTCTCCAATTTTTACTATTTAAATGCATTTAAGAACTTTACAAAAGAAGAGAACTGGCATTTATCATTTCTTGTTAGCATTTTTGTTTAAGTCGATTATGCTAACAATGTCTTATTCTCAACTCATAGTTTCCTTCAAATAGATTTCAGTATATCTTTGAAAGTATTTGATGATTAATGTCATCCAAACTTTGCAGTATACTGACTTGTATTCAAAGTATGAAACATGAAAATGCACAAACTGTGGTTGCTATGGCAACAAGCTGGTTTCCTGGCTCCTAACTACGATTTGAGCCTTTCAGCGATTGCTTTGTTATTTTTTAACCTAAGCAGAAAATTGTTTGACTAAATTTGTGTCAATGATTACAACAGATATTCTATCAGCCTTATTCAATATATCATCTCTCGTAAAAGTAGACATCTAAAAAACTTACTTGAATTTTAGGGAGGAGTAGCCTGGAACTGAGGTTGTTGCTATGACAACTTTTCTATAATTATAGTTCATTTTGTAGAACAGCTAGAGTACCACAATACTACTTAAATGGTTGATTTTGATTGAAATTGGGCTGAGATATAGCTTATTATAATCTTAGGCTGCTTAAGTATTGAGAATTATTATGATATCATCTGGAAAAATGGCTGCCATTTTACTTCAATATCTTTTGAAGGAAAAAACTAAGATATTTGAAAAAGGAAATTCAAGTTACATTTTACTTCATGATCAAAGGCCTTTCATTCCAGGCAAAAAAGAAGCAAGTCAGAAATTTCATGGTCATCCCACTTTAATAGCAGTTATTATGGATGCATGTAAATGAGATGCAAATGAGACAACAAGCATTGTATCGGCCTGATAGCTTCACTTGTATGATTCCTAAAACAAAAGAATTTCTCATTGCGGGTTCAACTGTAATAACAGCTATTAAACAGCATGGAAAATAATGGAGCGCCCATTATTTTAATGTAACGAGGGAGATGGAGAGGGGGTGGTCAGAATTCTCGTATGGGAATAGCAAATGAATCCCATTGCCGACCCCCTCACCCATAAAAAAGAAATTCTCTTACACAGAAACAAGGTATTCGGACTCTGTCTATTTGTTTAACTTGAACAATGAAAAGATGTAAATAGAAATCATAGATGGGGCTGAGATCCTGATGCTTACCTCTGGACATTTGCTGCAGCAAGGCCATTTGTGTTCGCCGGTTCGTTTATTATAGTAGAACAGTATCAACCCTGATTTACACTCCAATCCCAACCAATCATCATTCATCTGTTTTGCCTCCATTTATTGGCCTAATTGTAAAAACAGATTGGATTTGTATTAAATATTCACTTTTAGTATTTTTGCACGAGTGAATGTAATAAATCCAGCTCTCTCATTGGTCAAAATTTATTCTTATGCTGTTATATTCACCTACAGGCCAATATGACTCAAGCACATGCACGCTCATTTGTCGATTTGCACTACTTGCAGAATTTTTGTTTTTGTTTTGACCTTTTCAAGGTTTTTATTATTTCCCAGAATGAAAATTTTATACTTTACATATAAATACTAATAATATAATACTTTACTTTATAAATAGAATTTGAATGAAAAACCTCTCTCTCAGGTATTTATTAAATTCACTTGTGTTAAAATTACTAAAACAATCATTCTCATCAATTTGGTGAAGTGAATATAGGGGAATATTTACCTCGCCACTCGAAAACTCGTGTCTTGGTAAACATTCCCTGATATTCACTTCTTGTTCAGCGAATAATTGATATGTAACAAAATTATAGACTGTTACAAAAAAAAAAAACAAAAAAAAAAAAAAAAAAAA